AGCCACCAGCACCATCTGTCGGCGTGCGGGAGGCTCTTGGGCTGCGCTGCTGCACGCTCCTCCTGCCAGGAAAAGGGACTGGGAAGGAAAGTCTTCCCTCCACAGAGCAGAAACCATGCTCTATCGTTACAATAAATCAGATAGTTAACATTTTTCAGAGAGGTTTTTTGCCTTACTTGCTCAGCTAGTGAAAACTGGTTTGCCAGTGTAAGGACGCAGCCTTTCTGGCTGAGCTACAGAACTTTGGGGGTTTTTATTTTTGCAAAGGAGCAGCCGTATGTGCTGAAATTGCATAACAGTTAGATGAAAGACTACAGCACCTAGTTATTCTACAGGTTTGGTAGCAATACCCTTCCTTCTCATCAATAGTCAGAGATCCTAAGGGTCTGGGATCTCCTTCTTGGAGTACAGAGGCCACCCAGTGCCACTGGTTTTTTACAGCCAACAAAGTTAGTTGGGTTTGAGATGTTTTACAACATAAAGCTTGCAAAATAGGAAGTCTCATAATTATTACCAAACAGAGGAACTGACATGCCACATGTTTAAAATATTTCATTTTGCTTTAAATGTGTGTTCTAAACAAGAGTTTTGCAGGGATGGGAGGGAGGGTGCAGCCCTCCCTTCTCTGCCCAACGAACCAAGACCGAAGGGATGATCTCTGCTGACTTCGTTAGGTTGTTTCTGCAATCCCTGATCCATACAGACTGTAGAACTGCTGTCAGTTTAACATTCTGAGTGTGGACCTGGAAAAAAATGATGTTGAACATTTTGCTTTCAGGTTTCTACCAGCTTTACTGACTGCAGTCCTGACTAACCACTTGGCCTGGGTCCCTACCGTCATGCCGAATGGCCAGCCACCTATAAGAATCTTCCTGGAAAAGCATTCTTCCCAGAGTGTGGACATGCTGGCCAAAACTCATCCGTACAACCCACTGTGGGCACAGCTCGGTATGTGGCAAACATCTCTAAACCATCCAACAGCTTTACAACGATGGGTATGCGGGTGGTGGTTTTTATGGGTGCTTGTTGCTTCCCCCCCCAAGTTAAAATGTCTTTTATTCAAAACAAGACAAAATTGTGTATTTCAAACTTAGAGGTGGTCACTGAATTTTTTTATATGTGCTGTAATTTCTTAAGGCATTATCAATTATAAAATGGCAGCCAAAACGTAAAACCCCCTTTAGTCATCTATGGCAGGTCTCTTAAGGTCACCTGCCCTGGTGATGATGGCGGATGAGGGAAGAGCAACTGCCATCATCTACCTGGGCTTGTGCAAAGCATTCGACACTGTGCCTCATGACATCCTTTTCTCTACATTGGAGAGACATGGCTTTGACAGGTAGACATGGATAAGGAATTGGCTGGATGGTTGCACTCAAAGAGTTGCAGTTAACGGCTTGATGTCCACGGGGAGACCAGTGTCAAGCAGCATTCCTCAGGGGTCGGTGCTGTTTAACGTCTTTGTTGGTGACATGGGCAGTGGGATTGAGTTGCACCCTCAGCAAGTTTGCCAATGACACCAAGCTGTGTGGTGTGGTCGACAATGCTGGAGGGAAGGGATGCCATCCAGAGGGACCTTGACAGGCTTGAGAGGTGGGCCCGTGCAAACCTCAGGAAGTTCAACAAGGCCAAGTGCAAGGTCCTGCCTATGGGTTGGGGCAATCCCAAGCACAAATACAGGCTGGGCAGAGAATGCATTGAGAGCAGCCCTGAAGAGAAGGAGTTGGGGGTGTTGGTTGATGAGAAGCTCAACATGACCTGGGAATGTGCGCTTGCAGCCCAGAAAGCCAACCGTATCCTGGGCTGCATCAAAAGAAATGTGACCACCAGGTCGAGGGAGGTGATTTTGTCCCTCTGCTCCACTCTCGTGAGACCCTGTCTGGAGTACTGCATTCAGCTCTGGGGTCCCCAACATAAGAAGAATATGGAACTGTTGGAGCAGGTCCAGAGGAGGGTCACCAAGATGCTCAGGGATGGAGCACCTCCTCTATGAAGACAGGCTGAGAGAGTTGGGATTGTTCAGCCTGGAGAAGAGAAGGCTCCGGGGAGACCTTACAGCAGCCTTCCAGTGCCTGAAGGGGCCTACAAGAAAGCTGGAGAGGGACTTTATACAAGGGCATGTAGTGACAGGACAAGGGGTAACAGCTTTAAAATGAAAGAGGGCAGATTTAGATTAGATAGAAGGAAGAAATTCTTCACTGTGAGGGTGGTGAGGTGCGGGAACAGCTTGCCCAGGGAAGTTGTGCATGACCCATCCCTGGAAGTGTTCAAGGCTGGGTTGGATGGGGCTTTGAGCAACCTGGTCTAGTGGAGGGTGTTCCTGCCCATGGAAGGGCGGTTGGAACTGGGTGGTCTTTAAGGTCTCCCAATCCAACCCATTCAATGATTCCTCTGGTCCTCCCTCTACAAGGAAAATACATTTGGGGGTGGGGAGGGGGATGCCGCTATCAATAAGCCTCATTCTGGAAAGGGCAAATAAAGGAAATCCATCTTTTGATAAGAAATGAGCATACTCTCAATACAGCAGGCAAAGGAGCAGCACAGTACAGGAAATCATGACCAGGCAGCCCCCTGGGTAAGGTCTGAAAGCCTAGTCGCCTGAATAGCTTGTCATACGGTCTTCTGATTGCTCAGTAGAGAAGAGGAGATGAGCTTCCTACTCTCTGGTCAGATTGTCCTACTCTGCACGCAAACTCTCCTGGAATTTGGTTAGGGACAGGAAAGTAAAGGAAAGTTTTGTGAGGTTTCCCTATTCTGGTATAGGCAGGAGTGCTAGGGACTTGGCAAGAAGACTTGATTTCAGAGCTCTTGGGACTCAAGGGGATCCGCTGTGGTTAGGCTGGCCTTCGAGGCCTCTTGGATCCCTTGTCCCCCCATCCATGCAGTTCATGCAGTGCCCTAATACCTCCAGAACAACACGTGCACAGGCACTTCCCCCGATGGATCTGGAGTACCGTCAAAACAACCCATCCAACCCATAGTAGAGCTCAAGGGGAGGGAAGAGAAGAAGGTTGGCTTCAGCTTTGCGCCCGCCACTGTCACTTTTTGCCCTCGTTCTTGGCATGGGTTTGTGTCTCCTTACAGCTTTCTCTTGGTGGGTAAAAGTTCAGCCCAGTATCCAGTGTAATTCGGAGCAGATGCCTCCTCTCTCCCATGGCTATATAAGGAACCCAGGAGATGAGCTTCCAAAGCTAGGCACTGAAGTTAGGTGCTGCGAATGCTCCCTAATATGTGAGATCAGATGTCTCCCCGACCAGCGTATCACCTTACATACGATACCAGTAGCATCTTTGGGATTCTCTGTATTGAAAACAAAATACTAGCATAGCTCTCCTCACTCTTTTGCTTTAGTATTTTCCTGTTGTAGACCTGGCCTTTTGAAAACTGGCCACAACAATTGTCTGTTAGAAGAATAATTTGTTTTACAGATGCAAAATAATTGTCTGGTTTATTTCCCATTCTAGGTGACCTGTATGGGGCTATTGGATCACCTGTGAGATTAGCGAAAACAGTTGTGGTTGGCAAAAGGCATGACCTGGTACAGAGATTGCTTTATTTCCTTACTTACTTCATCAGATGTTCTGAACTTCAAGAGACACATCTTCTAGAAAATGGGGAAGATGAGGCCATTGTCATGCCTGGAACTGTTATAACTACCACGCTGGAGAAAGGAGAAGTAGAAGAATCTGAGTATGTGCTTGTCACAATGCACAAAAACAGGGGCAACTTGCTACCGATGGAGTCAGAAGAAATGAGAACTCCTAACTGTAGCTGTAAATACTGCAAATGTCCAATTTCCCTTGCACAAAACATAGAAGGTGTTTCACAGCAAGAGAGGGAAGACATGCAAAACACTCCGAAGGTAGAGCTGGAAACTTCTTCAGATGAGAGTAGAACTATTGTTCCTGACGATTGCCAGGAAGATGCTGTTGATGTTAAGCAACCAAGGCCCTGCCTGGACACAAAACTAGAGACCATGGTGTGCACAGGGTCAGCTTCACCAGAAAAACGTGTAGCGACGGAATCTGATTTGGAGCCAACAGCAAATGCGTGGAGGAATGAAGACTCGCTGGAATCGGGCAACCAGGCGGTCAGTGTAACAAGGTCACCCGGTATTGCTGTGGAAAAGAAGCCACCTGATAAGCTCTTCTGCGATGCGTTTCCTTGCAGTGCTGCCGAAGCTCAGACAAAGGTGACTTTCCTCATCGGAGATTCCATGTCACCCGATTCAGACATCGAACTCAGAAGTCAGGCAGTAGTGGAACAAATTGCTAGGCATCACAGCCCGCCAGCAACGGAGGAAGGAGTGTCTGCTGATCAGAACTGTGAAGCTAAACAAACTGTTGAGGACCAAAATAGAGACTGTGGGACAGCTGAACCCTTTCCTCAAGTTGCTAGTGAGCATCAGAGCTGGAATCCAAATCCATACAACGCTGAGAGCATGAGTCTGTTTGACGAATATTTTACTGATGACAGTTCAATTGAAACCCGGACTATTGACGATATTCCAGGGCAAGCAGCTACAGACCTTGCTCACAACGGTAGTTTAGAGTTTTCTAAAAAGCTGTGTACAAAGACTAGCAAACCACCTAGCGAGTTTTGTAAATTTATGGACTCTGTTCGACAAGAGACCTACAAAAACTGCTTTAATGAGCAGGACCAAAGAGAGAAAATCTCTATTCGCGTCCCCCATGGGGACAGAGAAAACGTAGAGAAAAAAGTCGCCCCGGGAATTGACTGGGACATTCCAAGAAATGAGAGTTCAGATAGTGCCCTGGGTGACAGCGAAAGTGAGGATACAGGTCATGATCTAACTAGACCAAGCGGTAACTATTATGGAGGAGAGCAAGAAGATTGGGCAGAAGAATATGAGATTCCCTTCCCTGGGTAAGTACTATTCAGCAGTAACAGAGCCTAAAAAAGATAGAGCCTCTTCTCATGTCACATGTTTGGAAGAATGTAGCCTAACTTGGCATCAGTGGTTGGAAAAGTGTCTTGAGCTTGCTGGTTGTAAAAGAATATAGAGGGATCAGTGGTCTGGAAAAAAATATTAATTGTGCATTGGGATCTTGGCTCGTGTCCTTTCCACAACGGGCTGACTGCAAAAGCTGACTTTAAACTCTTTCTTTGTAAAAAGTGCTTGAGCGGAAGTTAGAAGAGGTACGATGAATGTGAAGATGCAACCTCTCTGCAAGCTGGCTTTGTTGTTTACTATTGTACATCTCTGTCTTGCAGGTCAAAATTAGTTGAAGTGAACTCTGTCCAGCCCAGTATTGCCAATTTTGGAAGATCCTTACTAGGTGGCTACTGTTCATCTTACGTCCCTGACTTTGTTTTGCAAGGAATAGGAAGTGATGAGAAGCTGAGGCACTGTTTGGTGTCAGATTTGTCTCACGCTGTGCAGGTAATTAAGCTATATTTGGAAAATGTATTTGTCACAGTAAGGAAATATTTACTGTTGCAGCTCTCTTCGGGTTTCTCCAGTCCCAGGTCACCAATTTTTTCTTCTCTCTCAATTAACGTATCTGAAAAATGTGGGTATTTCACTGCAAATCCAGAGCACAAAAAAACTTGGATTCCCACTGAAGCCAGCTGAGAGGCTCGTGCCCTTGGGAAGATGCGGCTGCCCAGGAGCTCCCTTTGCTCCCTCCTCTTTCTGCGCACGTCTAACCAGCGTGCTGCTGCTTGTGGGGCAGAACGGGTTCTCTGCGGTGAAACCATCAGGAATGCTCGATAGTTTGGGGGCATCACTCCTATTTTAGGATTATAGTCAAAGTGTCCGATAGTGCTGGCTTTGTCAGAAAAGGAGAAACCAATATAAGGATAATTGTCCTAAGGGGACTTTCCGTGTGTGATGGAAATCATCTCTTCTCCACGGAAGCTTTTCCTTAGATGAACTGGGGCATGACTGGGAAGCGTGGTATTTCCCACCCCATTTATAGCCACCAGGAGAGGAGTGGAAAGCAGGCTGTCACTGAAAGGCGTGATTCTGCTCCCTTCTCGTTTATTCCCAAGGGAATGGGGACAGACCCGCGCGCAGACTGGTGAGCAGGCAGTCTGCTTCTCTGAGCGCTCCCCTGGGAGCCTCCAAAACGTCGCCTTCTTCCACACCTCTCGAGTTAACGACACCCATCACACCATCCAGGGATAGCACAGCCACCCTTCCTGCGGCCGATCCCCGCGTTACCGGCCCCTTCCCGTGTGCCCAACCCCGCGGGGGGGGTTCGCTCCCTGCACGGCTGTTGTAGGCGCTGTTGTAAGCCATCGTGGTTTAGGCTGAACGTTTAAACCATTTGTGAAGTGTAACTGAACTTCAGGCAACAGAGGCAGCAGCGTGAGGTAGCTGCTGCTATGAAACACATTTATCTGAAAAATACCCCAATAGCGGCGCGTGCCCGTCAGCAGGCTTAACCTTCAATTGCAAAAAGTCAACGACTGAGAGGATGTGAAAGGACCAAGCAAGATTTTCTGTGCTTATCTTCACGCAAAATAGTAACTGCATCCTAGCCCTGTGATGAGTCCCTGTGGGACTCCTTGGGAGGAGGTGCTTCCTAACAGCCCAGCTCAAAAAAATGCATTGGGGCAGGGTTCCAGATAACGCCCTTTTTAAAACCTCCATGGCTTTAGGGAGGTGAAGCGCTGCTTGGAAAGGAATGGAGGAGCTGGGCGTGCAGGCTTGGTTGCTGACTCCCTCTGCTGGCCCTCCCATAAAGAGAAACCAGTGACAACTGGGAATAAAACCGACCTCATTAACTCAGCCATGTTGAACAGCAAGTTGGGAGTTTGATACTTTCAGCTTTAGGGGTTTAAAATACACTTCAGCTATGTCAGAACTCTTTATAGCAAACATCAAAAGATTTCATTGTCAGCCAGTGGCACACTTTCAAGCCTGGAAGAAAATGTAAAACAGCGACTGTCCTTCTAAGACTATGCCTTGCTTACAGTAAAGCTCTGTTTTTAATAGCTGGAACGCAGTGTGAGCACACGTTACTGCATTTCAGCTGAAGCAGTGTCTGGGACGCTCTCCCTGCTGGCCAGGAGGGGGATGTTTTGTGAAAAGACCGTTGTCGTTTGTCATTCTCAGGGTTCTGCTATTCATTTTTTGTTTCCAGCATCCTGTTCTGGATGAGCCGATTGCAGAAGCCGTCTGCATTATTGCAGACACGGACAAATGGACGGTGCAAGTGGCCAGTAGCCAGAGACGAATGATTGATAATAAGCTGGGAAAAGAAGTGTTAGTCTCGAGTCTCGTCTCCAACCTGCTTCATTCCACTCTTCAGCTTTACAAGCATAACTTATCCCCAAACTTCGTAAGTATGAATGGCAATCGAGAGGGCGATGTCTTTAAAGCATCCTTTCGCTTCGTGGGTTACAGAGGTTGCAAGGTTCTGCCCAGTTTATTTATCTGTGGCCGCAATTTTAGTAGCCAGTGCATCCTCTGATGTCGCTGTTGGAGCTGTCCATTTAGACGCTGCTCTGTATTCAGGACTGCCTCATTAATTCTGATTTAACATGCAATCAGAGGCTTCTGCTCAAAAGAAAGACTCTTGCCAGCGAATGTCTCACTAATTATTCACCTAGACACGGCCACGGAAAAGGCAATGGATGTATGGGGTCTGTGCTGTTTCGCTCTGAGGCTGGATGCGGTTTGGATACAGCGCTGTGTTCTCCCTGACGCAAACCCCTCTGCTTTCTAGTGTGTCATGCACCTGGAAGATCGGCTGCAGGAGCTCTACTTCAAAAGCAAGATGCTGTCCGAGTATCTCAAGGGCCAGATGAGAGTTCACGTCAAGGAGCTGGGCATGGTGCTGGGGTACGATCACAAACTTCCTCCGAGCGGTGCTGCCCTGGGTTTCCTGGTGCCAAATCCTCCGCCTGGGTTGTTCTAAGCACAGCGAAACGGATTCCTAAATGGGACTGGAACTGTAGCGTGGCATAAATCACCCATGGCCGTGGGCTTCTCCTTAGCCATTGCTCGATCCCGAGGATCCCCCAGCCTTTCTCGCTCCCCTCCGGGCAGGAAGATGGGCTCAGCACTCCAGAGCTTGTCAGACTGCTTCCTTAGTTGGTCAGTCGTCACTGAGCAACGCGGGGCACCTGATTCCTCCAGGTTG